TCTTAAATTTGGTATTGTGAGTTCTTGCAATAGTTATGTTTTCTATATTATGGGTTGGAAGAATTGGTTGGAAGAATTGGGGGGTTCTTTTTTTTTGTTAATCGGAGTGAAATAGTATGTATTTAGTTTTTTGTATATTTAATGATAACTTATTTGTCTTAAACCATATGTTTAGCTCAATATTTGTTCTTTTAAACAAGTTTTCGATTGTTGTTAAGGAATAGAATAAGTTTGTATCATCTGCAAACATTATAGTTTTAAAACTGTTTGAGGCATTCGGACGGTCGTTAATATAAATTAGAAACAAAAGGGGAGAAACTACGGAATCTACATAACTAAAATTTTATTGTAATAGCATTGAATTTTGCTTTTATAAAAAGTTCTAAAAAATGATGTCTACATTTAGGTTGGAGAAGAGAATAATCAATTAGCTTCACAAATAGAATCGCAGCTCCATTATACTATCTGCTGTTTACAGCTGTTGTATCATAAAAACGTGCACCAACAAATGCTTTTAATTGCCAATTATCAACTAGGTTCATCACTGAAAAGTATTGAGTTTGACCAGTTTCGTCGGAAATTTTAAGAATATCTAGTAATTTAGGAGGTGGCCCTGCATACACATACAAGCCTAGTAGCTTGCTTGAAAGTTTTTCCGTCCCAATGAATTTCCAAAAACTTAGGCAAAATCCCCCTAGGGGGATTTGTTTCTAAAAGTTACGTTCTAAATGTCTTTTAAATGTTTTTTAAACGTCTTTTAAACGTTCTTTACGGAAGAATGTTTAAAAAACATTTAAAAGATATTTAAAATACAATTAGAACGTAGCTTTTTAAAACAAATGCCCATTGGGCCAAGTTTCTTCAATTAACTTTATTTCTTCAGTTTTGATAGCTGATTTTGTTCTATGAACTAAGGATGCTTCAGAAAGTATAATATCATTTAAGACTGCTCCACTTATTCATTTTCTCATCTTCTTTCTTAACATCTGAAGAAAATTTGTTTACTTCATTATCATGAGTAATGGTCAGGGTTGGGGTGAAATACCCATTGTATATGAAATTATATTTGTATTTGATATTTATGGGGTTTTGGATTTGTGTTGTATTTGATTAAAAAATTTCTTAAATATTTGTATTTGCATTTTTATTTGATTGAAATGTATTTGTTACAGTGTTTTTACCAAAAAAACACCGTAAACTAGGTTGGCTGGTGTTTTTTTTTGCGAAAAACCAAGGAATTTGTTTGTTTTTTTCATTTTTAGGAATAAAATAAATTAAAATATTTTTAAAGACATATTTCTTAAAATACTTATTTTCATTATGCTATTTAGTGTAGGGAAAGTTGGGGCACAGTGGATCGGATTTCTTTATTTTTAAATTGAGCGAAAGTTGAAATGTGTTTTTAATTTTTTTAAGGTGAAAAAATTGAGATATATGTCGTTTATAATAAGAATTTTATTGATAACATAACTTATAAAAGTATTAAAAAATTAAAAGCTTATTTAAATACTGTTCATAACTTGAAACTAATTCATTTTCATGTAGTTTGTTTGTTACAAATGCATGAACTTAATCTTTAAGATCATTAATGGGGCATACTGAATCAACCGATTTACTGTACCCCGATTTTACTCTGCCCCACTATAACAAATTAAGTTTAAGTCTAATTCTTGGGACATGAGTGTTGCTAAAGGAAAAGCTAAACTACTAAAAGGAAGCATACATATTAATATTCCGAATGAAAAATTTTAACGTTTAAAATTGCCTCTTATTCACTGTGCTCCTCGATCCACTGTACCCCAACTTTCCCTACCATTCGATTAATATTGTATTAAAAAATCTTTGTATTTTTTCTAAACCTAACATACAAAAACTTGTATTTGTATTTGGAAAATGCCAATTACACATATTTTTGTTTGAGTTTGTATTTAGAAATCTGAAGTTAGCATAATTGTATCTGTATTTGAAAGCCATTGGCGTCGTTTAATACAAGACTGAAGCTTGTGATTACAAACACTGTCAGTAACTATACGTTTAGATATACGTTTAGATATAAACTTTGTGACTTTAAAAGGATATAAAATAAGTTAAAAAATTAAGACTTAAAGACTTCTTTAAATGCAATTTTACAATATGAAATACAATGTTAGTATTAATATTAGAATTTTTTTGAAAAGTATTGGAATGAATGCAACAAAACTGATTTATATTACGCAACGTATGTGGTAATATAAAACAAATTTGTTGTGGGATAAGTATAAGTATTCTTCTGAAAATTATCCTAAATTCGAATTTTTTAGTATTTAGCGTTTTTAGATCAAATGTCATCACTGGTATAAACTCCGGTTAAAATTAAAAAAAAAGTTTAAAATAGACTACCCTACTGTAACAGTATTTACCTTGCAACTCTCAAGAAATGTATTTTTAGATTTCAAATCATTTGCATCTACGAAGTTTCCTTGTTGCAAAGCTTTTTCAAGTTTCTATTAATGTTCTATAACTTTCATGCTTAGTATACTTTGCAAACTGCAAAAATAATAGAGAAAACCAAAAAAGATTCAAGTTTTAAGACAATTTTCTAGAAAAATGCTTCTGTGGTACCTATTCTAAAAAGCGCCTGAATTGGACAAAAAAGTATAGTAGTTTTACTGATGATGACTGGAAATCAACAAGTTATCATAATACAAAAAAATATTTTTTTTAATACTCAAGTGTTAGTATTTAGCGATTGTTTTTATTCTCTTTTTTCCAGATATGCAACCGCGATAAGTCTACCAGACACAAAAAGCTCAATATTTGAATAGGGCTTCCAATAAAAATTTCATAAAGATTGTATTATCTAGACAGTTAAACATCCTTCTAAAGTCATGTTTTGGTCGGTTATTAGTGGAAGAGGTCGCTAAACGCTTTGCTCCCTGCTCTTAACGAGAGAGCAACTAGTTTATAAAATATTTTAGTTAATATTTATAACTAAATTTATATTCATCGACAAATTTCGAATTTCAAGAAAAAATCTCTATATCTTTGATTTTTATGAGCCTGTAAAGTTTACAGCCCCTCAAATTGAGGGGTTCAAACTTTAATTTATCATAATTTTTGAACACTAAGAGTATGAAATTTGAAAATTTTCAATAAATATAAATTTAGTTATAAATAGTAAATAAAATATTTTATAAACTAGTTGCTCTCACGTTAAGAGCAGGGGGCAAAGCGTTTAGCGCTTTAATTGTTCCCAGGCTCCGGTCATCTCAATCTTTTCACAAATGTTTCTTATTTGACATAACATAAACTTGTAAATATTTGGAGTGGGCTCCATGTCTTAAAGTTACTTATCTCAAACAACAAAAAAAGTTTACTACGGGCCTGATGGTGGAATAAATTAAGATTTAAAATTTATATTCATAAATATTTTTGGTATTTCGCGAGGTTAGAATTATTTTGTTCTATCTCCATGTTTTTCCGAATTGAGAAAATTAAATTCAAAGTTTTAAATGAACCTGCTGACCAAATAAAATAAAAAAAAGCAAACAAAACCGATTTTTATCAATTTCCCATATAGGCTACCACAGTTTAAAAGAATTTGTTTTAAAATATTTAAATTGCAGGTGTCTTATTTATTACACCTTTGGAGATAGAACAATGTAATACACATTTTTAATACACATTTTATACACATTGTAATGTTTTTTTTTAATACACATTTTTTGTAAAATACAGTATTATTTTGTTCAATCTCCATTTTTTGTAAAAAAACATATTAGAAATTAATATATTGTTGCAAGATGAATTTATATTTTGGCAATAAAAGTAACATCTGAAAACAACTTTCTGTAATATACATGATCTGAAAACTCTGCTCTGTAAACCAGATGCTTTATCTGGCTATAGGGAACAAGCTTAAAATCGAAATAGCTTGCAATAGCTAAAATAATGTTTGAAATCCAATCTTTTCACTTGGTAGACAAAAAAAGAATTTCTTCTTTGAACAGCAGAAATTGCTCTGGTTAAACCTAAAGGACTAAATATTTCAAGAAGAGCAAGTGCTCTGTCAATTGACTGTGGATATTGTCAAAGTGCTCTGTCATTGACTGTGGATATTGTCAACCTCTTGTATACTAGAATGTCCTGGTTCACAAAACTTTTGCTCAATTACTCTAATTTTTGGGTAACATATAAAAAACTGACGCAAGGCAATGGACATGTGACTATTTCTGTTTTGAGGCACACAGGAATCGAACCATAGTATGAGTTTATTAACACCAGAGTGGTCTGCAATTATCTTTTCTAGCAAGCATGTTACACTACTTGCAAGGTCATTGCCTGCACGACCCGAAACACCTTCATGCCAAAGCATACAATAACCTTTTTTATTTATGGAGTTAAATTAAATTATAAGCTGAAAGTTTTCCAGTTGCCCAGTTGAATTATAAGCTGAAAGTTTTCGTTTGTAAAAAAATGCTCCCTGTTGTTTGAAAGTTGCCCAGTTAAATTATAAGCTGAAAGTTTTTGTTTGTAAAAAAATGCTCCCACATTTGATTTTGGTAAACTTATTACATTTTCAAGGTCAATACATACTACAGCTATATTTTTATCTATAATTTTGCGGTCTTTATCTTGTTCTGCTTTAGTTTCATTCTTAGAAATAATGTGTTTGGTAAACATTTGGGTTTGTTCCTCAGTTGGATTTACTAGATTGCGGTATTCATAGAATGTATCACATAAATCAGTTTTTGGCTTCTGAAATTCAATGTTAAAGTGATGATCAAATATGAATCTATACAAATGCTTCTTAACAGGGGCAATATTCTTTTCTTCACAATAGGTTAAGTAAAGTTCATACATCTTATTAGAATTTAAAAAAGCTTCAAAATATTCTTTTTCTGTTCTTTGACGACAGTAGTGTGGAACACGTGGAACACGTGGAAATGCATTGATATGATCTGTAACGCTTTGTTTTGATGACTGATCTATAACCTTTTTGGTGTGTTTCCCCCATTTCGAAAGGGCTGGGCTTCCAGTAGTATCATTTTTTTTTTCATGATGATAATAAACTCTTCTACTACTTATATTTAAAGTTGTGAGGTAAAATTTTTTACAAACTCGAGTTAGCAAATCACCAACAAAAAAGCTATAATAAAATGAATACGCTTTTCGCGAATTTTCATTGATAGTTCAATGGACGTTTCTTCTGAAGTCGTTCAGTGGTTCGACTGTAGAAATGTCTCTTTTGCATGTCGTCCATAGACCAAAAATCAGCAAATATACGTTTTCTTTCTTCATCACTAATATTTTGTGCGCATCTGAATTTACAAGAATTTAGACAGTCTTTCTTTTTGGTTACAGACTTGCATGGAACATTTTCTCCCTTTCTATTTTTATACGGCTGATCAGATTGTCTTAGCTGCTTTCTCACATTCTGTGCCCAAGTTTTAGGTGCTGACTTTCGTTTCCTAGTTTTTCCCCCATGTGGGGGCAGACGACGAGCTGTTGTTATTTCAGGTGTATCATTATGATAGCCAAGAACAGTCAGATCAGTTTCTGAAACAAAAACAAAAAAAGTATACATATATATATATATATATATATATATATATATATATATATATATATATATATATATATATATATATATATATATATATATATATATATATATATATATATATATATATATATATTTATTTATATATATATATATATATATATATATATATATTTATATATATATATATATATATATATATATATATATATATATTTATATACATATATATACATATATAATGTGAACAATAACATATTTTACCTTCAAAGTTTTGTTGTTGTTTTTTTGAAATAAAAACTTCCGCAGCTGCCATTTTGACGTAAATAACTTTTGATTGGATAAAATGAAGATAACACATTATAGTTTTAATTTATGAACAGGATTAAGGAGATAGAACAAAATGCAATGTCAGGTATAGTATGTTAATTTTTTTTTATTACTGATTTTTTTATTACTGATTTTTTTGTAAAGAATAAATATTTTATCTATGAAAAGCAAAAAAATTAATCTAACACAATTTTTTTGATTTGTGGAGATAGAACAAAATAATTCTAACCTCGCGATTTAATATTTAAATGTCAACAAACTATGTTTTAAGTTTTTTTCATTGAAGAGTTTTTCAGTTTTTTTTTGCTGACTTATTCGAAATAACAATTGTATTGACCAGTATTGAGAGGCATGTAAATTTGTATAACAATAATGTAAATTTTTGTTATGAACAAATCAGCATTAAAGCATAACATTGACTAATTTAAATAAATAAAAAATATTTTTCAAAATTACTGTTTTCCATGTTAGAACCTTAGATTTATTTCATCGATTAGTTTGACTCAACCTCTTTCCAATCATGTATAAAAAGTGCCACATTTTATATGGTTTCTCTTATATATTATTCATGTCTTAAAACCCTTATTGATAAAAAAACTTTCCGCGGTAACGTTTTTTCAAAAGAAGTTTTTGAAGGTAAGGATTCCTAAGCACCAAAACAAATTAAATTTGTTTAAAAGTTTCCATAGAGATTAAAAAAAGGATAAGGAATCTAATGGAATGGAAACCTTTTAAATATTTAAACATAATTTCTTAGTTCTCAGCGTTTAAAAACTTACAAAAAATAATCATTTTTTGCAGCACAAAAAATGCAATAACTTTGGATCCACTAAACTTCAAAAGACTCCTCGTTTTTTAAAGACCCCTCATTTTAAGTTATTTTTAGTTTTTTTTTCAAGTTTTTTTGAAAATATATCTGTGATACCTTAATCTCTTGTAGACCTTTGAGCGTGCTCTAAGGTCTGCAAGAGATTAAGGCATCACAGAGAGAAAACTACAATAGAGCATAGATCTGATACAAGCTTTAGTGATTTGCAGATTTTGAAAGTTTAGATACTGAAGTATCTCTCTGTTAACTCGTTAATTCATCTTCACCAATATTGCACCAATGCAGATACTATTTTCCCAACCACCTCCTCTCCAAACATTGCTTCCTTAAACACTTCCACCTCGTATACCATGTTATTCATCAGATGTAGCTACCTCTTTTTTAAGCGACAAAGAAGTGAGTATTAGACAAGAATTGGCAATTATTAAAGTTGTAAAGAAGACATTTGTGTTTGACCGATGAATTGCCAAAAACACTTTAAGCCTTCATGAGAACTCTTCCGAATAGAGAAGTAGTGCGTGAAATTTCTCCAGGTCACTACTACCATTTTGGAATCAGCGCAGGAATAGTACAATCACTTAAAAAAAAAAAAGTTAATTTGAATGAAAAAAGTATCCTTAAAATTGTTGGTTAACAAACATTGACGTTGTCACATAAGTAAAAGCAGTACAGTATTCAGATAGTCTAGAAAAGGAACAGCGATCTTCAATTTAAAACAATTTTAAATGAACTCGGAAGGAGTATTAGCACTGTTGTTTGCAATAAATAAGTTTAAGGCTTTTTTTTTGTAACATTTATTGTGTGCAATTTTTAGGCTTGTTCATAGCATATTTGAAGGTGTCGATCAAAAATATTTCTAAGTGAAGAGATAACCATTTGTTATGGCTGAATAAATTTAAACCAATAAAAAAATATCATTACTACTTTCCTGCAGCAATCGAAAGAGCTATATCATAAACATTTCTTGTTACACATAATGTGACAACAAAATCATAGTGTGATATTAAATTCAGTAGAGAAAAAGCATTAGCAAAGGTTGCTCGAGGAAATGTTCTATTAGTTTTTAAAGACATTTCATCCAGACAGAAAACCGTAAAAATAAAGTGCTTTTGAAAAGTATTCTTGACATGATTTCACAATTCATAATATCCAAAAAATAAAAATCTGAAATATTGTTCCTTGTCTAAATTGGAATTAATCTTATACCTAAGAATTTTGAAATATTTGAGGTATCATTATCAATAATTGAAAAATATTACACTTTGATTTTTTCATATATTGATTACATTGCCTTTAATTTCTTCTCTACAGTACGTTATCTCCTAATACTTTATCCGCATTTTTTTTGTATTGAAAGCGCCACCAAACATCCTTAAAAAAAGTATGCCATTAGAAGTTTTCTATCCGCATAAGTTAATCTTCAAGGAGGTTTCATGAAATTTCCTTGTTTCTTCTGTTTCTGGGGCAGCCGTGACACTAAGGCGCATTATCGCACAAAGGACTGACCCGAACGGACTAAGTTTTATGTTGGGAAGATCAATTTGAAGTGGGAGCCGCTGATAGAACCTCATAAAGGCCTTATGCCTCCAATGCACATCAAATTGGGTCTCATCAAACGATTTGTCACTGCTCTTGGCAAGGAGTCAGTAGCATTACAATACCTCAAAGATCTTTTCCCAAAGCTGTCTCGAGCTAAAGTCAGAGCTAGTATATTCGTCGGACCACAGATCAAGAAGATCATAGAATGTGAGGATTTCGTAAAGCTGTTGAACAGGACGGAGAAAGCGGCTTGGAGCAGTTTTTTAGGGCTTCCTAGGTAATCACAAAGCTGAAAACGATGTGAAGTTGATGCAGACCCTCATAAAGAATTACGCCAAAATGGGATACAGAATGTCTCTGAATTCGTATCTTTGATTCGTATCTCAACAAACTCTTTAAGTGCTTTCATCAAGATATATTGGATTTTGAACGTTGTTATTAAGAACAGTATAAAAAAACATGATGGGGTACTACATTTGGAGGCTACTTTGAGAGTGATTTACAGTACAACCGTAAATCTAGAAAATCTAAGCATAACTGAACCTTTTTGAGTGGTTTCTGACTGTGTTTGTCTATTCCTTGTGCAATTTTCGTTTTTACCTGATCATAATAAAGAAAATGAAAAAAAATCTTTCTATTTTCACAAAAAAAAATGAGTTTTCTTCGTGCTGTTGTCGTGTAAGCAAATTTGTGCTTAATGAAGTTATCTTTTCACATACTTTAGACAAAGAGACTGTCCATTAATTACGTCAACAAAATAGGGGAGAGGGGGGTCTGAACTTTTTGATAATTGTTGACAAGGGGGAGGGGGGGGAGGTCAAGAAAAGTTGACGTCAACACTTTATTTTTTTGAACTTGTTACTTTTTTTTTATAAATTTATCTATTTAGAAAAAGAAAAATTAGGCAGCGTTTGCAGTCCTGTGTTACATAGTTGCTCAACCTTCAGAATTTTTATTCCTATTCTATAATTTAATAATTTCTACTTTTTAAAAACCGTTTTGTGCATTAAAAGACCAGACAGAACTAAATAACTACACACAAGATGTTTACTCGTAACGGTATTATTTTTTCAAAGTTATTGTTGCCTCAGTCTGCTGTGCATTCAAAAAAGATTCATTTAAGTTCATTGTCTACATTACATTAAAAAGTTTAAACGTTTATATAAGGGGTGCAACCTGTAGCTCGCAAGCCTCTTGTGATTTTTTTGATGTCAAGATGAAGCTCGTTCAGCGCTCGAAATAGTTTTTTAAATCTTGCCGATCAAAGATAATTTTTTTCACAAAAACAGTTTATTTTCACTTGAAGTTTTTAAAATTTCCCCCAAAATAGCCATTCGTTGATTGTTGATCGGTCATTATTTCGAGCGTTGCTCTTTAGCTGCATCTTTACATTGAAATACCTTGACATGCACAAATATTAGTATAGTCAGGAATGCGGAGTCCCAAAAGGACTCCGGTTTTATATCTCTATTTTTTACTGGCCTCTGGTGTCTAAAAGCTCTGCACATGTTGGTTGATTTATGATCTAGTAAATAAAAAAAATCATGAAATTTAATAACTTGAAACATATTGTTTCAAGTCCGGAGTCCCAAAGTCCTAGCCACCATTATACCTAAGGACTCCGGGTTCAAAAAGAGATTGTTCCTCTAACCTAAAAGTTTTAACTTTTTTACCAATCCTTAAGCATTTTTATATTATAAGAGCTCCTGGATACCAAAAACTAGGAAGAAGTAATCTTTTTGTGACATATAAATCCGGAGTCCTTTTCAGGACACCGCATCCCTAAATATAATATTATAATAAAGATGTTGGTAGCTCTTTAAAAATTGAAAAACTTTGCATATTGTAACTTTTGGTTTTTTTGTCTCACAAGGATGCCAACCCCTGGTTTATACAATTTGTTAAATGCTTTTTTTTGTTGTTCTAGACTCTACTAAAATTAATTGACTTTCAATGTAAATTTTTATTAGGTATAATGTTAAAGAGAGAAGAATTTTATTAATTTGAAGTATGATTTTAATTTAAACATGTGAACATTTTTGTGAACCCTTAAATCTTTTTTTTCTTAAGAGAAAAAAAGATTTAAAGGTTTACAAAAAAAGGCTCTTTTGTATTTTTAAACTGGAATTATGCTTATCAGTTAAAAGTTTAATTTTTTTTTCTTTACCTTTTACTTCAATTCACTTTTTGTTGAGAACAAGCATTTGTAATTTTAAATGATTATATTCATTTGAAATATGTTCATTAGTTAAAATTTGAATACATTTTTTTTCTAAACATTTTACTTTGAACCACTTATTTGTTTCAGTTGTAAAATTCAGTTGTAAACTCGTGAATTTAAAACATTTTTTTTCCATCTTAATTTTTTTATTGAGAGGGAGGGGGGTGGTTATCGAATGTTGACGTAATTTTATAGAAGGGACACTGAAAGTTTGACAATTTGTTGACAAGGGGGAGGGGAAAATGTAAAAATTGTCAAAAAATTGTTGACGTAATTAATGGACAGCCCCATAAACAATTGAAATATAACACTTAGAAGCCAGGAACAAAAATTGTACTATATTGTGTAATATATTATAAAGATAGAAAAAGACCAAATTATTAAAAACAAAATTGATTTAGCGGTAAGCAGGTTTTAATTTTGTGCTTATTGACATGTTATTATGTTATTTTTTCTCGATCCCTTTAAATTTGCGGATGTAACCCTTTGTTATGCAATAAAAAAAAAAAAAAAGTTTTGAAAGAAAAAAACAAATATAATTCAATTATAAATAATTAAAATGCATCATAATACACGTAAAATATTTAAATAACATTCAAAAATAAATGTTAGGCACTATAAATACAGTTATAGTCATATAAAATGACAGAAATAAAGTCACTATAAAGCTAAATTCTTTTTTTTTCAGTTTAATTTATCAAAATTGTTCGTTTAAGACATTTAAATATAGTTTATTGGTTATATTAGTTTTTCAATTTACCATAAAATCATTAAAAAATGCGAACAAAGCATTAGAGTAAGGTAAAAAAAAACCGTCATAATATCTAACAACTACAACTCATCTTGCAATAACTTTACTTCTGATTTCGACAATGTTTTTCCGTTGCACAAACAAGCATTGCGCTGTGCCTCAATAAAAAATGCACATCCTAATCCCGCTGTTCCTCCATAAAACATATCTGCAACTCCATTACATTCTTTGAATTTCTCTCCCTTGGTTTGCGCTTTGCAGGATGTTGATAAGCATTCTTTAAATACTTTGTCACATTTGTCTTTATTCTTATTACATGTATCATAGCACTTGTCATGCTCGTTGCAGCATGATGTAAATCCAGGATATTTACTTACATCGAGCTAAACAAACAAAAAATAATAATTATGGAAACATTATTAGACGTAAAACGAAATATTACTTGACCAAAATTTTTATTTTGAACTATGTATAAGTTTTTTTAATTTATTTTCTAACAAATTCATTTAACAACCCGACAAGACTGCGAGAAACAATGGTTTAAGCAACCACTTTTAAAATCAGGATTTACTATCAGTTAATTCGGTTATTAGTAGTAACTAATAAGCAAACATTTATTAAAATTCTAACTAATAACCGAACCAGATATTTAAAGAGCAAGAAAACAGATCTAACTTTTATTGGATGGTAATCTTAGTGGTGGTATCACAAAAATAGTCCTAATCTGGAAAGCAGTTAAATGGCAAAAGGAACATCTGTCAAATTTAAATAAGAAAATGGCATTTCATGGCTTGAATTAACGGAAAAAAATGTAATAGCAAAAAAAATCCCTGACCCAGCATTGCAATAAGGGGGTTGCGCAGGGGAGCCAAGAGCTTTCATGCTGCCTGGGACAGCAACCCTGATTGGCGTCCCTATTCTTCCTAATATTTCCTATATAAGTGAGCGATCTTTTTTTTTTAGGTACCTTGTATTTAATTAGGGCCCATTGGACTTCTGCCTCCCTTGACAAGCCATTCCCCCCCCCCCCCCACTTCTCAACGCCCCTGGGATTGCGTTAGTAGTACCTATAAAATTATGTTTTTGTAAATTAGTTGGTAATTGTTAATTATTTTAACATAATATCTCTCATATTAAAATATTATCTTATAACTTTCTTGTTTATAGAGTTTAAAATAGCGTAAATTACTGTTATAATTTACAGCTTATAATTTAAAAATTTATAATATAAAGTTATAAGTTATAATTAAAAATTGCAGTTAAATCAATATAATGAGCAAGTAAAGTATTTAATACTGTTACAATATTGCTTTTAGTAATTGTTTCTACTTAACATGATATTTAAGGAAGTAAAAGTAAAATTAAAATTGTAAACATTACAATAAAAAAAATGCTATATGACCATTAGAGTGCAGTGAAAAAATTGAAAGTGGAATATTTATATGCAATAGCAAGAAAAAGTTGTCTTTTGGTAAGTGTTCTAACATTGAAAAAAAAAATTTCAAAAATTTCAATGTCTTCAGCTGCCTCATAGGGGATAAAGATACTAAAAAGAGGTATTTTTTATGGCTATTGAGTGTTTTAGTCAATTGTTTTTTTTGATTAAAGATTATACTTTTTTTGTCAAATTCTTTTAGAAAAAACTGTAATAATTAAAAAGAATGACATGTATGTCATTCTTTTTTATCTAATATGAACATATTTCTATGACCTTTCAAGGTTATATATATTTCATGACGTGACACTTTTGTGGGGGAAAGGGGGCGGATTGGGATCAATGCACTAAAAAAATTTAAAATGTCAATAAGTACTACTTTAAACACCAACTTTGTAAAAATAAAAAAAGGTCTTTTTAAAAATAACTAGGGGACATGGTCCTCTGCGCTTCCCCTTCCCTTTCTACGTTACTGTGGCAGATTAGCAAGTTAGTAAGTCAGCAAGTCTATATCAAGTTAAAGGGTGAAACAAAAATATCTATTTATTAACTATTTTAACATACACAATCAAGTTTTAGAAATCTGTCATTACACTCTACCAATTTATTGGTTCGGAAGCACAATATTCTGTCTTAAACACTGGCAGTATGAGACGTGCATGTAAACGTGATCGAATAAAACCATTTCGAGTTTTATCTCCACATACAGCCAGCAAAGCCTCATCAGCTGTCAACGGTGGCTCGGTTGTTTTATTTTATTTCCAGTTGATGAGTTTTATGTAATCATGTGCATCTAAGTTAAGCTTTGGTAAACTGAAAGTACGTAGTGTGTGATACAAATACCTCTAAAGTTTTTTTTTAATAGGGGTAGTGAACACTCACCTTTGGATATTGCTCCCACATATATTTTTGATCTGTGCTCAAATTTTTAAGTTCAACTCTTGGAAGAGTTACATCAATCTTTTTAAATTCAATAACTGGTAATTTCTTACAATTAATAAGTGCCTTACCAATTGGGCAAGAAAATGCTTTTGGTCCTGTAGTTGATCCATCCAAACAAGTTAGTAGATATCAAAGAGAAAATTCGTTTGCATGCAAAAGACAAACCAAACATTGCAACAGTTTGTTATATTCTTTTTCCATCAACCTTATTGCGCTACCTTTAATTCCTGTGTTTTATCTTTTTGTACATCAAAATAAATTCCACGAACTATTTTTGAATTTTTAGAAGTTTTTAGTTGATTACGTTTTCTCTTACGCTCCCGCCATATTTTACTCGGATCAACAACATAAAAGGTATCTTGTTGATTAACAACACCAAAGTCTTCCAAAACTGCATTTGCTATTGCAGCTCTGGCTCTATCTGAGATCTCATAGCAATCACAGACGCTTGCTAATGCAGGAAATGGTTGCTGACATTGAAAATACAAAAAACTAATAATGTCAATAAAAGAAACATCGGAAATTTTAACTTTATTAATGTAATTATCATCTTCATCACTTTGAGCTGTAGATCGACTTTCAAAATCACTAACCGTAGACACGTACAAGGCATTGCGATGCTTATTTCTATGCCGCTGCTCAATACTTTTTCTTTTAAACTTCATGGCCAGTTTATTTGATGCAAGTTTATCAACATTGCCAATGCATATCAATTTGAGAGCTCTCTGATCTTGGATAAAATCTTTCTCTGCAGGAGGAATCTTGCAAGTTTTGTTACATACACACTTCTCAAACACACACTTACAGGTACAGATATCAAACAGTTTATGTCTCGCATCTTCTTTAAAAGCGTTTACTCTGTTATCATAATCACTGCGCTTGATGTTTCTCAATATTTGTATTTATCATGATAGAGAAAATCATCTTTAATACCCGTATATAAGTAATCATCGACAGTGACGCTTTTAACCATATTTTTTCAACAACTTGTGCAACTTTTTCAGAGATTTCTGTTATTGTAGCTTCTTTCGTAGCAGCTGTTGGTTTCAGTTGATGTTTTGCAAGCAAGTAATGTTTCATTACACCTTCATATGTTGGTAAAACAACTTGCGACATCTCTTTAGATATACCAAAGACAGGACAAGCCAGCATTATCCTCGTTCTCACTAACCTAATGACCATATTAAAACTTGTTCTATAATAAGCAAACTTTGTATTAGATTCATAAGTAATTTTTGATTTATGCATTAATCTAGCAAGCCTTAAATAAAATTAAAAGCTAAACTAAAATATCAAACATTAGTAACAATTTTTTTGATATGCAAAGAAATATATTGAGAAGTTTTAAAAAAAAATATAATGAACCACTTAGATAATTATTTCTAAATAATAACTAAAAAAGAATAATAAAACACATTTTACGTCAATATAACATAAAGTTAACAAGTAGCTTAAAACATTTAGTTTTAAACATTTATTGAACAGTTACAAAGGTGAAATAACCAAGATAACCAAAACAGGTTAGGTGAAACCAATGGCGAATTAAGACTTTTCAGGCCCCTTTTTTATGTGTCACAGCATGAAGATTACTAAAAAAAAACTTTTTTTTTTTTTAAACTTGATTTTAGGTGTCCCAAGAAGACCTTACGGTCTTATCACAGAGCACTGTGGAAGAGCATTTAATAGGAAGTTCACGCCTCCTTCCCAACCGATGTCGCAAAACTTGCCCAGAGGTGGGGTTTGAACCACGGATCTTACATTTTTGAGGCAAGTGTGCTACCACTGCGCCACGGTTGCTCAACTTCTCTTGATTCTTTTGGGGGGCCTGGGGCTATAGCCCCTAACCCCACCCCCAACCCCTTTAATACAGTACTGGGTGAAACAATACTATTAGTAATTAGGCTTAGGGTATGAATAAAGAAAAAAATGCAGTTTTTTATTTTAAAAAGTTATGGCTAAAACAGGCTGTTTTCATGAAAAATACCTATTTTTCAGTAACATTGACCCCCTTGAGGCAGCTGAAGACATTAAATTTTTGAGGAAATTTTATTCACTTTATTTGAACACATATCAAAAGGCAATTTTTTGTTGCTATTACATATCAATAATTTACTATTTATATTTTCATCTAAAGTTTCACTGCACCCTAATGACCATGCTACGGACCAAACGATTAAGATAAAAGCAAAAAATTAGACCTACGTTTTATTTAATTTATTGCTTCTTGATCTAGCGTACAATTAAAAATTTCTTGATCTAGCGTACTATTTAAAATTTAAGTATAATTAATTTCTTCATTAAAATATATTTTAAGTTGATTCAATTTGTTTTTCAATAAAAAGTTAAAGAAAAAAAAATTGATTTAATCAAATTATATTTCCTTAAGCTCAATTATATGCTTAAATTTTTTTTGGAAAAAAATTTCTTTGAACCGAAGTAAAATAATTCATTGTTTTTAATTTTAATTTTTTATAATTTAATTTTTGATTTAATGTTTGCAATAGAATAATCACTGGTTTAATGTTTGCAATAGAATGTTTCTACTTACTACTGAAAACTATTTTGAAAAAACAAAAAGTAATTAACTTTTTAAAATGTTTAAATAAAACTTTCTTCCTCACTCACACTATGTTCAATATTGTTACTGTTGCTAGATCTACATTTAAGTTTCAGAAGTGATTCTTGCTATGCCACTGGGTATTATGGACGTCGGTGCAATTAAATCTATAATTATTAAGTGTTAAAATTCTTTTCTATTTTTGAAATTTTTTTTTTTAATTTGAAACTTCAATCGCAAAATTATTTGAATAAGAGAATTTTTTAAGACTCGATTCTTTTGTTGAAATAGATTCTTTTTAAAAAAAAAATCCTAAAAACAACTTGCTATTTATAAAAATGTAAACATTTTTATGGCTAACTTGTGTGAGTCTATTAGTATTTTAAGTAAATTTAATAGTTGAGTAACTTAATTGTAGTAAGTTAACTAGTTGGTTTGATTTAGCTTATAGGTAAACTTACAGTGATGTGCTTTATCCATAATGTTAGGGATTGCAATCCCAGGGACCTATTTCAATCCCAGGATTAAAAAACATCAATTCTGGGATTGAAAAACAGATATAACATCTACATAGTATTAAATAGGAAAATAGTACATTTTTTTCAATCAAAAGTATATTTATTGAACAAAAGCAGTTTTTACATCCATGGGAGAAAAACATATTGTTGAGAAATTATGTAGAAAAATAAACAAGTGTATTATGTTTTATGCGCTTTGAAATGCGACATAAGGAAGCACAATGCATTCAAAGGTTTATCGCCCGAATGGTTACAAATTTTTGTATTCAACCTGCTAATGAAAAAAAAATGCCTGCCCAGCCTCAACAATTGTTAATTTCAGGATATTCAAAAAACTACCACGCGTACCACCATTTTCAGATATTGTTATTTCTTTTTAAATTTTTGATAACTATGTCTCATGACTAACTGGTTGCATAGGTGATGCAACCTTTTCCAATATTAATAGCAATTATCAAGTTCCTTTTCAATACTTAAAGGATTACTCACAGACTAAGGTATCATTTCAGGTTCCTCAATCAAATCCAACATATCAGACTCAAATAATGCTCTTACTAGAGCAAGATTATTGCAATTTTACGTTTTACATTTTCATGATTGTAGCTCTGGAAATCTTCCACAATTTCATCATTCTTGTATGATACAGCATTAGAAAATTTATTTTCAAACTCTGGTTAATTTGCATTAAATTCTTTTTATAAAGAACATCAATTACAGCAAGTTATATAACATAGGCAAAACAATTTTTGTTGATTAGCAGCCAGCAACACACCAATTTTTTTAAATAACAGCTCTGTCGGTCATTATAGCCACAATGTAGATCAAGTCTTAAAGTTTTTTTTCTAATGCAATTTCAATACACTTTTCTGTCGGCATTAAAACTATTATTCACACTAAACCTAAACACCACAAGTGAGAGTTTTATCCATGAACATTAATATTCATATAGCAACAATATTGAAGTGACATCCATTCGTCCAAAGACAAAGAAAATCTCTCTCCTACCCTAAATTGTGTTGTTTTGCGTGCTTCAATTTAATGAACTAGACCTAATCTTACTTTTTTACTGTACTAAATAAAATTATTTCATTGATATGCAGAAATTGTTGTTATTTTTATATAATTTTTTATTATTCTTTGTTTTGTTTGATCTTGGGAATCCTGGGATATTAGACAATACATAGGATTTTGGGACTGTATCCCAGGATTGCAATCGTTACATAAAGTAAATAAAACTAAATATAACTTTAAAATATTATTGGTTTCCACGCAGAAATTTAAAGTAATTTAAATTCAAAAGCGCTATATGTTGAATGAAAATCTCTGAGCAAGGGAGCAAATGATAATACTTCTAATCAAGAGATAAATTTAGTGTGACTTTATGACCCCTAATAAAAAACTTAGGCAAAAACATTACTTTCAAGGATGAAAAATGCTGAAAAAATTACTAAATTAAAAAAACAAAAAACAAAAAAAACCCCAAAAAACAAATCGCAAAGGTGTGAAAAGCAGTTGCCATTTGTGATATGCTTAATTCGAGGCCTGCAGCTTAGCAAATTGTTTTAATGAAATACTTACAATAAAATATTAAGGGTTCAAAGGAACAAAAAAGAAATGCATTAAAAAAAAAAATAATATTCATAATTATTAATGAAACAATTTAAAAATAACATGAAGAAACAAATTATATATATATATAAAAAAATTTTAACAATGTTATTTCTTACATTCAAACCTGGTACTCCGCACCCATTAGAAGATGCTACATGAGATAGATTAACATTTGGAACAACACCTGGATTATACAATCATGTAATTAAAACTAAATACATAATTAGAAACTGTTTTGCTTTAATTCTACAGAACCAATTATTAAACTTCTTAATAAAAAATTGAATCAGATGTTCTTTCAGAATCAATTACATTTTGAAAATGAAAACAACATTTTGATCAAGCAATATTAAATTATTTAACAAAATATTTACTTTATAAACAAAAATAAAAACAAAAATGTTTTCCTTAATAGGCAAATTTTTAACATAACTAAACCTTTATTACACTATTAATTAGTCATATAAGTAATTATCTGGCTTGACTTCATTGAAAAAAATTATTATCTTATTAAAAAAAAAAGAAATAATTTAGTTTTCTTGTGCAAAAGCATTGTGTCTAGCTAGCATATAATCAACTTGCTACTTGTAAAAAATTTTATTTTATTTTATTTTGATAAGTAATATTTTACAGGTTTATAACACCATAACTAATAAAATTATAAAGAAAGAGATAAAAATATTTCAAATTATTTAAACCAGGAAAAATAAATCATATCTTGCTCCACTCACCTCACCAGATAAATTTAAACACAATAACCTCACTAAATTATTTTTTTCAGGCGCTTTGTTTTTTATAAATACCCAAAATATTGAATAAGTCGGGTGGCATATTTTGAAACCCTATACAAGCTCAAAATAGGCAGAGATATGCGCAATCTGATTAGGTGATTTTGAATGAGAGGCTATTGCGCATATTTTAAATCAAAACAAATGTCAAAAAACATATTGAATAATAAAAGTGAAATTGAGTAATTGCATAAAAAACCAAATAAAAATAACCAAAAAAGTTTTTATCCAATTTTTTATAATATATAGTATTTATACTTTTACAAAACTTCACAACTCAAAACATCCGTGATTTTCATAATATTTCCCCAAAAATAAAGATTAAATAAAATTAGTTTATTTTCCTTATGGAAACTCTATGATATAAATATGACAACCATTGTAACAAATTATAAACCAGATGGTAAAACTTGACTATGCTGTAATTCTTATACGATAGATGTTTATAGAATAGTGTTAAAATTTACCTAGTAATATCAATAGAACATTATTAACTTGGTATAAATTTTTTTCAAATTAAGTTCCCATTCATCCTATCATTTAGAAAGAAAAATATTAAAAAAAAAAAATTACTTAATTTCTTTTCAGTAATTTACACTTATTACTCCTATATATAAGTTGTATACATCACTAAAATATTTTAAGTTTGAGAATATTGCTTATTGGTTATATAGCTAGCACAGATAATTTGTAACACTCTCAAATTAAAAGCGATTGTAAGCTAAAGCTGATTAAGATTGCTTTGGAAATGTATAGTAATAAAAGACTTTAAAAGTGCATTGTAGCATAATATAAAAAAAATTTATAACCTTATGTCCACAAGTGTGTTCTAATATGGTAAATTGATTACCAAAAGGAACAATTCCTTACTTACTATACCTTTATGAAGAACTAAGTGTAAAAAGGTAGAAGCAAGAAAAATTGCAAACATACAAGTTCATGTCATTATTTAAATTTTAAAAGTCAACACATATAAAGCACATGTTTGTTGATATATAATCTTTTAACCTGAAATTTTCCGTATAATGAATAAAATTAAGTATGCTTTTTTGAATTTCTGTGAATACCTCTTGTATAATAATATAAAAATAGAGGCATGTCATGTTTTATTTTGAAGCAATATTAATACTTTTTTTGAAAACATGCTTTTTCAAATGTAAAAGATTGCTTCGATGAAGTTTTTTTATTACAATAATTCACCTTCACTTAGTTAAAATTTCTGACCTCAATACTCTTTGCTAGCATGTAATTTCACTTATATGTAACTGTACAAAAAAAACTGTAGAACTAAGAAAAAATAAAAGTAGAAAAACAAAAAATATATATTTTTTTAATTTTCCAATAGATTATTAATATACAAGTTTCATCCTATTTATATATAAGTTTAAATACCCTACCAAAAATTTTTTAATTTTTCACAAAGTGTTTGAAGGTGTAAGGATAATGTTTTATTAAAGTTAAGTAAAGAAAAATATTGACGCACTCCTTATCAGCCTTCTGAAAATTTAGGTTCAACAGCAACTTCTTCAGAGTTTGTAGATTTACATGAAACATGTAAGCTAGTTTGGCAAAACATCTGTAAAAAATTTCTTTTTCCAAAAATTTAAATGTTCAACTCTTTATAATTAACAAGTTGGTATAAAGGTACAGTAACAAGCTTAAAACAACATCTATCTCAGCCTAAAATTTACACTTTGCATACTTTAAGTACTTTACCAGTAGTCTAGTGCAACTGCATATAAACTCTGTCTCAAGCATGCTTTATAGAACATGGACATTACATTAGACAAGATACACATTTAGAAATCTTGCATAATTGCACACATGCAAATTCAAGATAAATATTTCAAGAATTTTTAAATACATAACACATTTTATAATAACAAAAACTGATTTTGTTCTTTTTATTGATAATATTCTCTTTTTTTATTAACTCTATAATTAACATATAAATCAATTTATAAATAAAGTTCTTCACCAGTAGTCTGGTAAAACTGCATATAATCTTTGTATGCAAAGTTTCTTCACAAGTAGTCTCGTACAACTACATATAAACTTTGTATTTAAGTATGCATCAAGGCCAAGAACATATTTTAAGAGTAATACGTTAATAGATTTTTTCAAATTTACTTCAACACATACATTTTTTTTCAATTTCTTCATTTTAACAACTGATCTTCATCACCAAGATAAACTTTATTGAAAGTTTGAGATTTTTCAAGTAAAAACTCTCTTGTACAAATATAAAATAAATTTCCTGTATTGATAGTAATTAATAGTAAGACTTGCATTTATAAACTTAGTTTATCATAATAAACTTAGTTAATCATTATTATGAAATTTATTTCAAAAACCTGTTTAGATTTTAATTTTTTAACTAAGGCGCACTTGCCTTTATTTGAAAATCAGCGAATCAGATTGCTCATATTTCTGCTTATTCTGAGCCTGTATAGTGTTTCAAAATATCCAGCCGGGTGAATAAAAAAAAGCAATTGCTTTTACTCAGTAATTGGTCTGTTTTACATGAATAAAAACTTCAATAGTTTTGCTTTTTTTTTTTACGTCAAGTTAGGCAATTTACTCAGTAATTTGTCAGCTTTATGTAAATAAAAACTTCAAAAAATTTGCTTAAGTTTTTTATTCACGTAAAGCTGACTATTTACTGGGTAAAAGCAATTGCTTTTTCTTTATTCACCCGGCACAATGAGTCATTTTTTAAAAGACGCCAAAACATGACATTTTTCTGAATTAAGTAGCCCGGTTTTTATCATTTTAATTAAAACATTGCAATTGGTTATTAATTCAAATTTATAGTTTATTATTAATTTTTTTACGCGATGGTTTTTATAAATTTAAACAAATATTTTAGGTTTTAAAACCCCTTTTAAACTTATTTTATAAAAATTTAAATGTAAAAGTTACTTTGATGCTTATAGAAACCAGTACTTTTTATATTACTTTAAGTTGTTACGCGACGTTTGTTTTCGCGCTAATAATTATCGCTATTAAAAGTGTTAGTTAAATTAATCCTAGAAAAAGTTAAAAAAGATTTATAAAAAAAAATACATATCTATATAAATGTAATTACGTATAACATACTTTGATAATTTAAATAAAATGGGTTTATTGTAAACATTATAATTAATTTGTTATTTTATTTAATAAAGTAATAAGTAAACTTAATAATTTATGTATTTAATATATTTACATAGTAATTATGCATTTTCATTATACATTTTCTTTACATATTTAATTATGTATTTAATAATTTGATAATTTATGTATTTAATATACTTAAGTAATAATTAATGTATTTAATAATTTACAAAGCATTTTGCATAATATAGTAATAAAAAAAAAAACGTAATATAAATATATTTTCCTTTTCAAATTTTAGTTTTTTGAGCTTAGATTTCTTCTTTCTCTTTATGATTTTCTTTTTGATATATAATTTATCTTACAAATTTTCTTTTTATTGTCTCCGCATTTTGAAACGTCTATAGTTGTCAAAACAAATTGCGTGTTAAAATAAAAATTAAATATTTTAGGCGTGTTCATGAATGGCGCTTGTTCACACTTCTTTAATTTTTATCAGACATGTCTGGCAAACTCGAGTCTTTACCGGACAAATTGTCTGGTAGAAAAAAGTTTGTTACTTCGAGTCTTGTATATAGTTTATATTATATATAGTTATATATAGTTGTGATTATAGATACATATTTTATGTTATTATAGTTATTATATTTAGCTAGATATAGCTTTCCTTATTCACCATTCCAGCTAAAGTCAAAACTGTAAAAATTTGAATATACAAAATGTTCTATATTCAACATTTTGAGTATTTAAAAAGAACAAAACATTCACATTTCTAAAGTATAAAATTTTTAAATTTAACTTAATATTTTTAATATTGGTTCACCTACCCAGGCCGAGAAGGCCACTACGGTCAAGAAGGTACTCTAGTTGTAGTTATAACCCTATCTAAACTCTATAAGTCTGAAACACAAGCCTTGAAGCACAAGTTGAGTTAAGTTACAAGTTGAGCGCAGTACTACCAGAGAAGTGATGGGGACAAGAAAAATGTTTAAACAATTTAAATCAAAATTTAAAATGTTCCCCAGAATCTTCAGATCCATGCTGAAAACAAGGCTAATATTAGTAACTTTTTCAATCTTGCTTAAAACTTAATAATATTAAAAAAAAAAATTACTCTCAGAAATAAAAGCAAAGTTAAACTTCAGAAGATGAAATTAACAGTTAAAACTAGTGTTGTTATTGACTTCGACTAAAAGGACTAAAAGTCAACTAGTCGAAAGTCAAAATTAGTAAACTTTGAAAAATCGAATAGTCGATTTAATTGACTATAGACTTCCTACTAATTGACAATTAAAAAAAGTCGATTAAAAACCTCAAAACAATTATTTATATCTTTTCATTTGATTTAACTTTTTAATCTTTAATTTTTGTTTGCTTATTTAATAACAATAATATGTGCTATTATAAATATTACCTAGTTTTTGGTTTAATCTCTTAAAATTTTATCTAAAGATTATTCATAGCAAGTAAGCGTTATTTATACTTAAATAAACTCGATTATTATTTCATTAATTTTTTTCTTTTGTTTATTTGATGTTTGCAGGGAAAAGGGACGAGCACCACAGGCATCAAATAAATAAAAGAAAAAAATTAATGAAATAATAAATTTTATTGTGGCTCCCAAAATTAAGCCTTTTCTTAGAAAATAACGAAATTCTTTTCTAAGAAAAGGCTTAATTTTGGGAGCCACAGTAAAATAACTAAATTTTTGGTATCAATCTTTTGAGAATAAGATGGATTTGTGGAATATTTATGATTTTTAGCAATATCTGAATATTGTTGATAGGAATGTCAGGCCTTGCGATAAAGCGTCGGGCGATGTAAAATTTAGGTCGTCCAAGAGCGATTTTGCGTGTAGCTAGGGCTATTTGGGTCAAGCAAAAATTTTTTTGTTTGAGTATATTTAAAGATATTTTTGAGCCGAATTTTAATGAAGTAATTTACGATTATTTTAACATTTAATAAAGTATTTTAAAAACCGCATGCTGTTGATATAAAAGTTTGAATTACAGAAAAATTAAATATGCTCATTATTTACAAGTAGAAAAAATTCAGATTAAAAAAAAAGTTTAAATCTTTTTAAGCTAACATTTTAATAAAATTATTCAGCAATAGCAAAGTTGTCGATAAAATTGAACAAAAATACTTTCTTTTAGTTTTAGATTTTTAACTTGAACAATTATTTTACGGGGGTTTGTTAGGTTTTAAAATTACTCCATAGATTTAAAAATAGTTAGACGTATTAAAAGACGTATATAAAAAATTTGTTAGACGTATTTAAAGTATTTAAGAGTAATTTTGAGGAAATATTTTAAAAATTGGTAAGCGCAAATAAAAAAAAATAAAAGGATTAATATTAAAATGTATTCTACTTGATTCAATTAAAAATTACAGCTATTAAAATTTTTGTAAAAAGTAACTCTAAAAAAAAACTACTTAAATAATAACAATCGCTTTTTTGTTAGAAGTTATCGAAACTCAACGAAGTGTGCTCAAGAACAGCTGCTGAAAAATGGAATGTCAATAGTTTTTCGAATAATTTGTAATAATAATTTTTTCGCTGAAATATGTCTTTTATACCTATAAGATTTTTATTCTAACATTTTCTTTTATTTTATTTTACCAAAAATAAAATTCCTTGTAAACATTAAAAATCTATTCAATACGTTTGTTAAAGTTTTTTAGCAATACGAGTGATTGTGCTTATTAACCGCTTTATGAAAATAAATAAAAATAAATAAATAAAAAAATATTATATAAAAGTGCTAGTAAAAATATTAGCTATTGCACATTTTTTAATCGTACAATACTAAAATTTCCAGTTTATTACTCGCTGACTTTTTAAAAAGAAAAAATAATTATTTGAAAAAAATCAAATATTAGCATATTCTATAATCTTTTTTAAATGTTTAGTTATGTTTTTCATTCGTTTAGTATAGACAAAACGTGTCAAACGTCATGAAAATAAACAAATGTTTTTACATTTTAAAAAACGAAACATTCCAAAACATTTTTAAATAATAACATTTCTACATTAATGATTTAAAGTAGTTTTGCGGTAATTAAGTAAATTGGTGCAGTTAATGTCGATAAATATGAAAAGCAAATAAAAAGAATTTAATGACGTCAAAAATCACGTCGTGCAGTTTTTATTCATCACAAGGCCTGGAATGTCCATTTTTGATAAAAGTCTTAATAAGAAAATTGATTTCATCTTGAATGTTATGTTCTGAACAAATTTTGTATGCTGTAGCTATAAACCTTCAAAAATGCCAACTGCGATACTCAGTGAAATAGATGATTTCGATTTTATAAGTACCTTTATAATTGCATCCTTAAGGTGTATGGAAACTCATATTTGTGAAGGGAGTGATTGGTTGAAATACAAATATTTTAAAAATTTAATTGGTGTTGAGCATTTTCATATTTGCATGTATATTGAATAGATTTATCTTGTGAATTTAAAAGTGTTAAAAAAAGAATTTGTCATCAAAATTAGTAAATCGAGCATGGCTATCATCAATGTAAGGTTTATAAGTTTTTAGTGCAATATTGACGTTTAAAGTCTGCTGAATAGCATTAGACTTAATATGTTGTAGATATGCTTCTGACATGGAGAACATTATGTATAGACCTATTGGACCATAGTATTTTAGAATATATATTTTGTCTTCCCATAAATAATAACACTAATACAGAGATCAATTAGTTTATGAATGTCTACTAAAGATAATTTAGCTTGTTGTATTAGATCTTCTCCATCTTTGTTTAGCATATCAATAATATATATATCATTGACTTGCAATGTAAGTGTAAACTGCCTCTGAATAGTCATAATAATAATAGTCATCTAGTATGAGAATAACTGCCTCTGATTAGTCGTCTAGAGTGTACCAGCTTGAAACAAGAAAAACGATTTCCACACGAGTTCAAGAGCATAAAAATAATGTTACAAAAGCCAACCTGGATACATATGGAACAGTAGAACATACACAACATTGTAATGGTAAAAAAAAAACTAGAGAGACCCTAAAACGCTTTCTATTATGTCAAACAACTACAAAAGAACAATTTGTGAAGCAATTGAAATACAATGTGTGCAATGCTCAAAATCTAAAGAAAACATTTTAAACTGTGACAATGGCGCAATTTGATGACTTTGTAGTTGTAAACTACTTTTTGTAAAATTAAAATTTTTTAAATATCTGACATTGCAACGGCATCACAATGTTACCTTCATAATAATTTTCTTAAACAGTTTTATGGGCGCATATATACATATATATATATATATATATATATATATATATATATATATATATATATATATATATATATATATATATTTATATATATATATATATTTATATATATATATATATTTATATATATATATATATTAGGTTTGTAAAAATGGCAAAATATTATACAGTTAATGTTGTGGAAGCCATTTATAATTAGGCAAAAACCAGCATGGAAAATAAGAAATCAAAGGCGAGTGGTCAAATTGACCGGCTAATACATAAAACTGACGGTCAAATTTTTTTTTTGGGTGGTCAATTTTTTTTTTTTTCTTTGTTAAAATTTTTATCTCAGTATTTATTCTTCATGACATGAAAATAAAATAAAGACTTGATTTAAAATTAACGAATCATGTTTCTTTTCAGACAGTTTTTTGTAACTTAAAAATATATTTTTAAAGATAAATTTTGTCTGATTCATAATCTAAAGTTTCTTCGTAAGACGATTTTAAATCTAAGGTTTCGTCTGATAACGATTCCAAATCAAATAATGTTTTTATAGTTTTTTTCTTTTCTTTTTTTGAATAAATTTGTATGTGTGTGTGTGTGTGTGGGGGGGGGGAGCATGTTCCCCCCACTGGTGTTGACAGCCCTGATTTTTGGATCAAAGTTAGGCATATAATTATATAGTATATCATTGTAGCAAGTATTTAAGGTGACACACACAATATGATATTAAAATATAGAAAACAAATATGAATTACTTCATTATTATGATTAATACTTTTTTTTTATTATTTCAAAAAAATAAATTGTTCCTATACTTTGATTAAATCAACTTTTAGTCAATTTTAAAAATGTATTACTCGATTTTAGTTGACTTTAGAAAATATTTGTCAATTTAGTTGACAGTCCAATAATTTAATAGTCATAACAACACTAGTTAAAACATATGGCATAAAATATATAAAATAAATATATGGGATATATATATATATATATATATATATATATATATATATATATATATATATATATATATATATACACATTTATATATATATATATATATATATATATATATATATATATATATATATATATATATATATATATATATATATATATATATATTTATATATAAAACTTAACAATTCCAAAAATTCAAGGTTATTGAATTTTGGGAATTTTAAACCCTGCAGTACACGCAGTGTCATTGCTAACACCCTACACACACACACACACACACACACACACACACACACACACACACACACACACACGCACACACACACATATATATTGTTGGTCATACACACCTACAAAAACTAAACTATTTTTTTTGTACAAACTTGTACAGATGATTAATAACACTTTATAATGTTTTATTTTCTTGCATGGAGAATTTGCTTCAATACACAATTCTCTGTTAAAATTTTAATTAAAACACAGCATACATAGCTTAATGACATGCAAAAATCTAATAAAAAACAAAAAAGTTGACTAAAGAAAGTTTTTCTATATAACTGTCAGATATGGATGTCAATGATATTGCTTCAACAGAGATGATACCCAAAATTATATAGGATACAACTACAAGTATTTTGCATATTGTTTTGATAGGATTTTTGATATGACAGATTAGAAGGGTTCCTGTAAAGATTAAAGTTGAAGAGCAATATAGTGTTAGCTTAAATGAATATTGGAAAAAAGTAATACTTGATAGTTAAAATTACAATTTGCTTTTTCTCACTTTGTTCCATGAACTTCACACAATTCCTGCCTCAATTTTAAAAATCTTTATTGACCATTTTAAAAATATCTTTTACTGCACGATGATAAGTTTCAGCACTTCAAGTCAAAACATAAAAATATTTTTTTACCTAAGTTTAAAAATCACAAGTAAAAAGCAATGTGTTACTACACTTAAGATTTCTTACCTCCAGGACATTTAAACTCACAAGTACTTTGACCAGAAAGTGCTGCAAATATTTGTGCTAAATCTCCAAGTTTAAAATCACTATTATCTAGTATTACTAATGGCAAGTAAAGTAACGATATAACAAGCGAAACTTTATGAAAAACCATAACGGTATAAGTAAAGTCAATTTACACTACAAGAACAGGAAGAAAACGGAAAAAAAGCAAAAAATATTTAATAGTCGACACAATCGAATTTCGAAAGTATTTAAACCCTAGATATAACACGTGTCAATAAAGATACGGTTGGTTTACAGAGCATACAGTCACTAGTTACCAGATTTCATTTAAAATTTTTTATTTACACTTAGTGGGCGGCACTACTGAGATAGACACGCTTAATACGAACCTGTCTTACTGCCAGTGACAGATCAAGTGGGGAGGAGGGGGAGGGGAGGAGGAGAAGGAAAAAGGGTTATGCCCCCCTCTTCCACCAGAATCTGGAAGTCCTAAAATATCTAAGAAATGAAGGACTTTTTTTTGGTTGTTTTTTAAGGAGAAATGTAATACAAAATACAAAAGTATTTCAACATCCTCCCTCTACCTCCCCCCCCCCCATCATCACCAAAAATTCCTGGATTTGTCACTGTTTACTGCCCCTTCGCTTACAAAAGCATGCGTGCAGAAATATTTACTCTAGAAATCAGTGGCGGGTTAAGGCTTTACGGGGCCCGGGGCTTTTTTTTTTTTGAGGCCTTTTAAGTGTGCCACAGTGTGAAAAATGACTTTAAAACAACAACAAAAAAAAGATCTTCAAAACTATTTCGGGGCCTCTATAACTGCGGGGTCTTGGGCTATAGCCCCCCTAAGCTCCTCCCCCACCTTAATCCAGCACTGCTAAAAATAAGCATGGTCACGCTAAACCTATGTATTGACTAAACAATAATCTCTTTCCTAAAAATTTTAGAAACAAATAATAGAAAGTTTGAAACAAAGTAATATGGGGCTATTTCGCCAGTTTAGAAATATCACCACCAATTGGTGTATATTTATAACTATAACTTTACTTAAAGATAAGATTTTTTTATAATTCAATTTTCTATTAGAAGAAAAACAAATTTCTTATTAAATTATGTTAAAAAAAAATCTTCTTTTTGTGAAAACTTGATAAGAAAAATAATTGACAAAAATAATCTATAAAAAAACAGCTAATTTAAAAATCTCATAAAAATCAAAGGTCATGTTGGTTTATGCGCATTTCATTAGATAATTTAGTTAATATGTCTAATTAAAATAATTTAGAAAAACAAATAATATATAAAGTAAAAAAAATAATTAGTATGCGCTTTGATTGGATAATTAATATCAACTCCATCTCCATTTCTCAGGTCATGTTGGTCTTGTAATCAATTCAAATTAAAATAATTGGATTAATTTTTAGCAACAATGCCGCGAAACTACAAGAGAAAATCCGTCACAAATTACAGCAAGGCAACCAGTAATTATTGGTGGCAATAATGAAACAGTTAATTACACTGTCAATAATTGTTGCAATGCCAACGGTGCCAGCTTTTGTTGTCTACAAAACAAAACATTTTTGGGCTCAATGGGGTATTGGTGAACCTTCAAGTACGTATTACACTGTGTCTCTTTCTGGTTGGATGGAGGAAAATCAATTTGTACAATGGATTAACTCTGTCTTCATTCCTTTTAAAAATGCAAGTTGTGAAGGCCGAATAGTTTTTATAGCTGATGGTCATTTAACTCATGTTTCTAAGGCAGCAATTTGAAAGTCTAATATTGGCTTAAACATTTTTCCAACCACTCGATTCGGGCGTTTAATGTCACGATAAATATGTCTGGCTTGCAATCCTTCAACAACACTACAGAGAAACTGGTTTTAGAAATGTTGATAAGCTGACGTTTCTTCTCTTGCTTTTGAAGTTACATTCATCAGACCAGGCTTTTAAAAGGTCACATGGAGTCAGTGGTTTTGAAAATACAGGTCTCTCTCCATTAAATAAAAATGCAGTTGATACAGAGAAACTCAAGCTTTAAGAGCTTCATAATCCACCAGTACCAAAACCAGCACCAACAACTCCATCAACGTCTTCACAAGCAGTATCAAAAATTCCATCACAGCATCTCAACCACCATCATTCATCACACCTCAATTAGTTCGAGAAAAAATACAATTGATGAGCCAAGTAATTGAAAGGGATCTCAAAGGCACTTACAAATAAGAAATCAAAATCAAAAGCCCAAAAAGCGAGTCAAAGTTGTAATCGAAGGTAAATGCGTTACAGAATCATTGATTTTTGAGCAAGTAAAGGTAGCAAAAAAAAAATCAAAAGCTAAAAAAAAGCTAAAAACCAACGAAGAAAACTGATGAATGGCAGTGAGGAAGATGACCAGGACAAAAACAAAAATTCAAATATAGCAGAGAATAAATGCTGTAAAACAAAGTGTCAAAACCCATTCAAGAGCGCAACAATTGATCAACAAAATCTTTGGTTGTAAGAAAAGTTCTTGTCGAAAAACGGTTGGTGAAAAAACGTCGACCAAAAAAAAAATACAATAAAATTTTATTGCTCAATAAAATGTAGAAAACAATGAGTTTTGAGTTTTATCTCTTTATCTCTCATGTATTATAATTTATGAATTGATTTTTTTTTTAGTTTTCTGGATTATTTTAAAATTCTTTTTTTAGTCAACTAAATCGCCCCTCCCCCCAGGACCATCTTCACGGCTTGCAAAATATTCTACATTTCTAAAAAAAAAGAAAAGAAAAAAAGAGTAAAAAAGGTGGAGGGGGAACATGCCCCGATACCTCTTGGTATCAATGGCCATGACCCCACTTATTGAATATTTTTAGATTTCTTTTATTTAACTGATTGTAAATGTGTTTTTGAGATTTATAATTTAAAATATAAAATTTATCTTGATAATATATATATATATATATATATATATATATATATATATATATATATATATATATATATATATATATATATATATATATATATATATATATATATATATATATATATATATATATATATATATATATATGTATATATATATTGGCCAAATTCCCCCAAATTAGAATTTATTGGGGTAATTTCGCCACCCCATTCTTTCTGTTCTACTTATTTCAAAAAAAAAAAAAAAAAAGTTAAAATATGTAAAGTTTATAAAAATATTATTAACATTAAAAAAAAATCGATTTTCATTTTTAGTTCTCATGTTATTTAAATTGAAAAAATTAGTAGCGAAATTACCCCCGTCTTACTCTGCTTATGATTAATTATATTAAAATAAGTTTGAAAGATTTTTGGGGACAATCCCATGGTTGAGACAAAAAAATTTTTTTCGATTTGTTTTAAAAAATATTGTCTAAAGTTTATATGAGGCTGCTCAACCTACCCCAGCGGGGTAAGTTGAGCAATTGCGTGGGGTAAGTTGAGCAATAAAAAAAATAAATGCATTTCAGTGACAACTATTAACACTGTTATAAAACCAAAACAAAACTTCCTTATAAATTAAATAGATACTTTCAATTTTAACAAATTATTTAAGATATGAATATCAAAACTAATAATTTTAATACTAAAATAAAAATAAAAACAAAACTTTTTAATCTTAAAGCTAAACACAACTTTTTAAAAACATTTTAAAACTTGTTAATATTATGATAAAATAATAACTTAATACTTTATGTAAGTCTTCAATTTCCATTTTGCAGTTAATACAAATATAATTTTGACCAGAATGTGAACCACATTTTGAATGAGACCATTGATTGCAACCTTGACACTGGATCCAATTTTCTTCTGGTAGACTTTCAGAATAAGTTTCCCAACATACAAGACAAGCATAACCGTGTTCTGCACAAGATTTGCTGGTTCTATACGATCTGTGACAAATGATGATAAAAAATCATCATCAGCAAAAATGTTTGCATTGTACGGTTATACACCAGTTTTTTGAAAACCCTTTGTAATGTTAGTACACGTTATAGCTAATGGCAATGAATCAGATACAATTTTTGGTATATCATAAACTGTTATGGCTTTTCCAGGATTTTCTCTCAGCCATGCATCTTGTGCAACTGATGGGTACTTTTTAAAAGGTCCAAACACTGATACATCTAGTGGTTGCAGCTTATGGCTGCAGTGAGGTGAGAAAAAAAACATGACTATTCTATTCTCCTTTGCTAAGTTTAGTGTTTCAAAATGCAAGTGAGAAGAGTGATTGTCCAAAATTAACAGAATTTTGTATTCATTTGAAGGCTTTACATGCCTAATCAAATGTATTTCCTGAGGCAGATACAGCAGTTACCATTGTTACATTAGTGCCTCTTTCCCCAGATGTCATAGCATTAACATTTCTCTTGCCCTTTGCAGCCACAATTTTACTAGGTTTTACAACTATAGATACACTAATTTCATCAACGCTCCATATTTGTGAAGCACTGAATTTGTTTATATCCATAACTTCATCTAGTTTATCAAAAAATACTTTTACATTTGCAGCGTTAAATGATGTAGCACTACCAAGGCTAGTTGCTTCAGGTTTCCTTATAGATAATTGAGGATTTCTTTTTAAAAAACTAGTCATCCACTCTTTACCAACCATCTTATTTACTGTCCAAGAATCTGGTATTTTGATTTTGTATTGAAGAGCACACTCATAAGCAAGAGATCGAACATCTTTAGGAGTATAACCGTAAAATATAGATGCCATTTGCAATAAATAATTTTTTAAGGCGCTTTCTTGCTCTTGGGAAAAAATCATTATAGGTTTTGAATAAACCATGGATGGCTAACCACTAGAGTTTAGTTTTAAAATATATCTTGCTAATGTCATTCTCTTAATGACGAATTCTTTAGCAGCTGCACTAACACTTTTTTTCCCCTCCAAAACAGAACTTGCTGCATCACTAAGCTGTTGGCTTGTGAAGGCACCATTTGAAGTTTTTATTTTATAATTACGCATCCTATAATATATGCATACATACATACATATATATATATGTATATGTATATGTATATATATATATATATATATATATATATATATATATATATATAATATATATATATATATATGCATATATACATATATATATATATATATATATATATATATATATATATATATATATATATATTTATATATATATATATATATGTATATATATATATATATATATATATATATATATATATATATATATATATATATATATATATATATAT